TAAAATATATTTAATATTTATTTTAATTAATATTTTATATATTTTTAACATAATAAAAAAATAAAAACTAAAAAATAAAATATGGAAAGATGTTATCAAACACAACCTTAGCTGTTTCCTATGCCTTATAGTTTTACTTATTTGTTTCTTACGTCACAAAGTTTTACTTATTTGCATATTAAGTGTATCAATTATTTCATTTTTATTTTAAAGTGGAGAAAGGAGGGAATGAAAAAAGCAGAAAACAAGAATTAAGAGGTTGTATTATCTAAGGGTTTATCTAATCTATATTCTTTAGGCATTAGTTATAGGTACATTAATATCTAATATGAAAATCTTACTAGAGTTAAAATCATGATTAAGATTTTTAGAAAGGAGATATTTGGAGATTCAAAAATATTTAGGTAAGTCATCCACATTAACATCGGGGGCATACCAATCTAAAATAAGACTTTGCACTTTTTCTTGTAATTTCCTCTACCTCTTTTTCCCTCAATTAAATTTTTTCTCTCCCCTAAACACCCCTGATTCTCTTGTTGATTTCGAACCAACATATCTTTAGTTTTCTAATTTCCTCATTCCCTACTTCCTCCACTTTAAAAAAGGGATTGATGAAAATATGAATGTCCTTTCTCTGTATAAAGTATTTTTTACATCTTTGGTTGAGCTTAAAATTAATTGAAAATTGTTTAATTCTTTTAATAGTTACAACCTTTTCACATTAACTTGCATGTATTTCAAAATTAAAGAATAATTTTATAAGCAAGACCCTCTTTTTGGCTTACGGCTTTGTGTAATGCAAAAGGGTGAGTCCACCATTGAAGGTGGTTAGTTCCCAAAAACAAAGTCATTCCTCGATGGGACATTCTTTTCTCATTTAGTCTAGGGTTTTGGTGTAAGGCATTGGAGGTCTGCATGGCAATGTCACAAAGTTCTGATCTTGGTGTGCTAGGTTGTGGAGCTAAGGCTATTGTTGGTGCCAACCTATGTTTACTAGTGCTCAATGGATGGAGGGTTAGGTTGGTTGTCCATTGGAGGTTGGTAACTAGATCATTGAAATGAAAGCAGGAGTGGCACAAGTCCACCCTTGGATTGGAGGTAGATAGGGGCACTAGCTTTAATCTCCCAAAGATTTGTGTGCAAAATCCCTAATGATATGTTTCATTTGAAAGAAATGGAAGGGAGGTGAGGGGAAGGGAAGGATGGATTTTTTTTATCAATCAAATTATAATCTCCTATAATAAATTACACATCATAAATGATATGTAATTTATGACTATGACCATTTTATTTATAGACTTTATAAACCAACATCCTAAATTATTAATGGAATTGTCATTCATAAAAAGAGAGAGGGAGAACAATTTTAAGAGCAAACCTCCATTTAAAAATTATCTTAACCTCTCTCTAAATTTGAATAGCTTTAAGTTTCAATTGGAAATTTCAAATGGTTAAAAATTTGAAATCTAAGTTAATGATTTGATATCAAATCTTAAAAGATGTGAAAAAAATTAAAAAAATGTAAAACCTATTTTCTATTGTATAACTAATTTATTATTTGATGTAAACAAAAGTAAATAGTTTTAACATTAGTCCAACCTTAT